TGGACACATTATATCAAATTCTTTTAGCAAAGAGCGGAATTATCTAAGACTAAGTCCAGATTCAATCCCTTAATTCATGCTGCTTTTGCAATTTCTTACTGTATTTTTTCACAATCGAATTTTCTGACTATATCGATTTATAAAAATTAGGAGGGAAACAATATCAAAAAGAAAAAATTGAAAGCAAAGATAAATAAATCATAAAAGTTAAAATCGAGGTAGAATCATATAGGAAGGCAATTTTTCTTAATGCGAAACGAGCCCGATTGTGCACGATCAGATTTGACGTCAAATGTGAAATTATGTAGGATATGTTATGCATAATATGATTCACGAATATAATTTGAGCACAACGGCAATAAAAAGAGAATTACAAAAATTTAAGAATAAAAAGTTCCAATTCATAATGGGATTTAGCCAAAAAAGGACGCGATTTTAACACGTATATGACTAGCATGAGATTTCACTAGGGGTATGCAAAATGGACCACCCAAACCTGGAACCGCCCGAACCGGCCGGTTAGGTCCGATTCCCAGGAGTGTCGGTCCGGTTCCAGGTTCCTAAAAGTGGAATCCGTGTTTGGACAGTCCAGTTTCTGATTCCAAGGGGGAACCGAACCGGATTGATTACATATACTTCTTTTTTATTTCTCCAAAACAAAAAATGTGAACTACATCCTAAATGAACTTCATTGACATAATTTTATTGACAAAAATTAGTAAAATGTGAACTAAACCCTAAGTGAACTTTATTGATAAAAATTAGTAAAATATGAACTAAATCCTAAGTAACCAGTTCAATTGGACTGGACGTGAATCGGATCGAGAACCGATCACCCCTGGATTTCACCTAGTGTCTACTTTCCTGGGGTTGGATTGAAAGCAAAATAAGCAAAGATTGTATTCTTTGATGTTACACACGAATCGACCACTGCTTTTTCTTTTTTGGCTGTGTCAAAACATGTGGCGTATACTTCTGCATTATTGTCATCAACAACCAACTTTTGCATGTACCTCAATTTAAAACAAAAATTTATAGATTATGTTAAATTTGGATAACTCGATATCTTAATCCTTTTCATTCACTTTTTTGTTTTTATCAATTTTATGAAATTAAAACAATAAAGAATAGTAAAAACCTTCCACTCACATATTGTTTTGATATCTGTGGAATTTTATGAGACCATTGCTAATGTTAAAAAATATTATGTTGTTAAATGAATGTGTGGTTTAATATCTAAATTTTCTAACACTCTTCCTCACACATAGACTGGATTTTGGCTTAAGCCTAAAGTGTGGAAATATGTTGAGAAGGCAGATAAGAGCCTGGAAGATTTGAACTTTCCTATTATAATACCATTATAGGAATAGAATGGATAAATTGTGGAATTTCTATATGTATTGATGAATAGAACATGAGCCTACTTGTAAACTTTACAGGATGGCTATATAAAGTAACATAATATTACAATAGAAATTACAATCAATCAAGATTATGAGATTACAATATGAGAGATACATATAATCAGGTAATATATTTCTAACAATATCAATTATTGCAGTAATATAATGCAGAAGTTATCATATCTTGCAATTAAATCAGCACAAAATCCTGAATAATAACGAACATGAGAGATTTACATGATTCGGTCTAAGTGTCGTTACTTACACCATGGGAAGAGGTAGAAGAATTAAAGAGTTACAATTGCTCACACGCTCAAGTGTTTTCCAAACTTAAATAACATACAAATCATATTGTGTACAAAAAAGAAAAAAAACTCAATTAAATGTATTATCCAAAGTACACAAAACCCCATGTCCGATGCTCTGCGTGGGGCTCCAGAACAAGAGCTTCACTTTCAGGAAGTCGTGAGTGGCTTCTTGCTCGGTCAAACCGTGGATGTTTGTCAATAGGCATGCGGCTCTACTGTTAAAGGGATTGGGGGAGTGAGGACACTAGTATCACAGGTGCAGGGTTCGACTTTCACACTCCGCAATCTTCTCCAACAGAAATAACAAATCAGTGCCCAAGAGATAAAAGAAAATCAGCAACTTCTGTATTTTGAGACCACTTCTCATCGTCAATTTGAATTAAAGAAGAGAAGACCAATTTTGATTAATAAAAAATCCAACCAAGATTTGCCTTGAACGCCTAATTATCTTTACTATACCGATCGGTCTACATTAGCAATTACTACCTCCTAATTTCATGATTGTGTAGAATTAACCACTGTTTTGATAATGATCTTTTTTTCTATTTGAGTCATCATATTAAATATTATTGTCTAGCAAAAGTAAATAGTTTGTTCGCTTTAAAGTTTCATGTAATGACTGTAGGAGTATTTGCAACAGCCCTGTTGGGCCAGTCTAGGTTCGAAGTGTCGCTTTTGTTTACTTAAAAAATTACCTAGGAAAAGAGCAGATGGTTTGCACATGGGAAGAAAAATAAGAAAAATAAATATGTCAGGAAAGAAATAGATTTGAAGTTTCGTCTATTTAGGAAAATATAACCGGAACGCTTTTAAAAGGTAAGAATGATTTAACTCACCAAACACATCACGAAGATATGAATATAAATTTAAAAAGTGTTAAATACTTAAGGAAATTATGATTCACGTGTTAAAAGTCAATGTACCTTCAAAGAACGATTTCACGCATCACTACTATGGTGCGGTTATCACTCAATTAAATAATATGTATGGGTCTTTTTAAGGATTTTATTCATAACAGCTTGAAAAAGAAATTATCTTTTAGATTTGTTGTGTGCTATAGAAAGATTTAAATCTTAAAACATCAAACCAAAAGTTCAGGGACTAAATTGAACATGTACCAAAAGTTAGGAACCACATTAAACAAATTAAAAGTTTAGGGACCAAATTGCACATTAGCCAAAATTCAAGGACTGTTTGTGTCATTATCCCTAAATAATATGTGTGGGTCTTTTTATGGATTCTATTGGGAAAAGTTTGAAAAAGAAAATATCTTTGAGATTTGTTGTATGCCATAGAAAGATTTAAATCTTAAAACATCAAACCAAGAGGGAATTGTATCTTGCCAGCCACGACAGAGGAATATTCATTCAAGAAATTAAAAAGAAGTGATAAGATTTGTGAAATAACACGTTGAAGGAGGTAGATAGATTGGGGCAATCCTGCACCAAAAAGGAAATTGAATCCCCAAAAGTTGTCTTTCCTCATATAAGAGAGGACCCGCCTCTGTGTTTTGAGGAATAAATTCATCGAAGCGGTTGCACACCAGGCAAATTTATCATTCATTCTGCGACAAAGAAATGGCGAATTGGGAAGAACTCCCACAAAGGATCCTGAAACTCATCGCTTGTCGACTAGCCATAGAAGACCTTTTAGCTTTTGGAGGGGTGTGCACCTCATGGCAGTCCGCTGCCACCAAAGCCCTGTGTCTCATGACTGATGCGTACAACAATGTAGCTAAGTTCTCCAGCCTCTCTACAGGGAGAATTTACCCAGTGCGGTTGCCAGGATCTCTTGCCCAGACCTTGTCTGCACTAGGATGGATACTCGTGTCAGAGGGGGCCAGCGAGTACCGTATCTTCAATCCGCTTTCGCGCGTCAGCATCGAACTCCCCGCCTTGGAGAAGCTTCACCGCGAGTCACGTCTTAGTGCGGAACTCGACGGGCTGAAGAGGCTCTGGTACGGCCGTGGGATCGACAAGATGGCGTTGTCCTCAAGCCCTTCTTTGTCCAGGAGCTACACGGTCATGATCTCTTATACCGGATCACAATGGTTTGCCTTCCACAGATCAGGAGAAGATGCGTGGACCGTAGTGAGTCCTGTGACGGATCTGATTCAGTTGACCGTCCTTCGACTGATTTATTACGATGGGCTATTTGTGGCCTTGGATGCGGGGGGTCAAATAATGACTCTTAACGAGAGAGAGCGGCGCATGGAATCGCGACTATTTCTAGGGCTTAGTTATGTTGAAGGTGAACCGTATCTCGTTGAATGTTCGGGCTCATTGCTAGTGGCTTGGAAGATATGGGGCGAAAAAGATTCGAGTTTTCAAAGTTGATTTGGAGAAGGGAACTAAGGAAGAGGTCAAGAGCTTGGGGAACGCGTCTCTCTTCTTGAGCGTCAACTCTTCACTCTCGGTGGAGTTCAACGGCGAGTCTTGCCTTCCTGGGATCGAGCCAAACCGCGTCTATTTCCCGGACTACCAAGATAATAACATGAAGAGTTACAGCATGGAGGACGGAAAAGTCGAGACATACTTTGATGCAACTAGCAGACACATCTATGAAGCCCAATGGTTCCGACCTAGTTTTTGAACTTAACGTTTTGAATTTTTTCTCTTCCTCAGTTGAAAAGGATATTGTAGTCGGCTTTCCAGTTTCTCAGTTTCTCCACTCTCCCACCATCTTTGATTACTTTCATTTTATCTTCATCAACTATTGATACGCTCCCCTAGTCTCTCTCTCTCTCTCTCTCCTGCGTTAAGACGATAAAATGCATAACAAAATGGCACTGATAAAAATGTTTTCTTAAATTTTTAGTTGTGAAATTGGATAAGCATAACATTAAATATGAATGATCAAATAAAAGTATTTTATTATGTCGCAGCGAAGTTTTAAGATTTCGTGCTATTCCCTTTATTAAAATATTCACTTTATTTAATGAGTTTGATTCAATTGAAGGATATGGTGGTAATCTTTCTATTTTCGCACTTTCTCCACTCTCTCGCTATCTTCATCACTTTCCTTTTCTCTTCAACTATTGATACGTTCCCCTACTTTGTCCGCTCTCTCACTATCTAAACCATCTTTTATATATTCATATCGTAAGTGAAGACAATAAGAATGCATAACTATATGGCACTGGTTAGAAAATATGAAATTGAATGAATATGACGTTGACTAAGAAAGACCGAATTAAAGTATTTTCTCATTTTGTAATGGAGTTTGGATGGAGTAATTGAAAAATGTTTGCATGTGGAAAGGGTAGAGAAAAAATTGAGTTTAGAAGGAAATGGTGATAGCTGAGAAGGAATTGGTGCGAGAAAACTATTTGGCTGGTTAGAGGACAGAGACACTTTTGGCAATACAGAAAAAGCTATTTGATCGGTCAAGAGAGAGGGTTATTCTCAACAATTAGAAAATATTGGAAACACCTCCCTATTCTAAAGAGGTTGATTGATTCCACGCTCTCAATGACAACAAATTTCAATAAGCTAATTAATGGGAGGGTGATAATTGAACATTTTGAAGTAATTCAATGACCTAATCAAATTTGTTGAAAGATTAGGAGAGACATTATACATTAAACATAAATAGAGGTATCTAATCACACAAATCGAAAATTTATCGGAGGAGCTGAAGTCCGGCTGCACGACCCCCAAGAAGTGCCTCCCACTATTCACAAGGCGGTAACAAAATTCCATGAACTCGTATCTATTGAGAGTCGTCAACTTGTGTTGGATGAGAGTCGTCATGCTGCCGAGGTCTACTTTCTAGAGACTTCGAGTCTCGTATAGGAGAAGCCAATTGGAGATGGAATTTTTAAAGATTTTCAAACAAAAAGGATTTTTAAAGATTTCCAATCCTATCTTAAGTTTCAGATTTTCAAAGATTTCTAATCTTATCTTAGGTTGCACTAAATATATGATAAAATATTTTTACAATCTAGGGATATTTGAAGGATTTCAAATTCCCCTTTATCTTACCATACCCCAATTTGAATATGAACGATCAAACGTAACCTTAAATAAATCATGTTACTAGTGGATAACGTCTATCCCACGGCCAGAATTGCTGTTATGGTCCAATAACGGCTCTTCACTACTTCCTTCTTAACCTTTTTTTTTTCTATCCTCCGTCTTGTTTTGATAAGATCTACTTAATTTGAAGTGTCGCTTTTGTTTACTTAAATATTGCCTAGGAAAAGAGTAGATGCTTTGCACATGGGAAGAAAAATAAGCAAAATAGATATGTCAGGAAAGATCTAGATTTAAAGTTTTGTTTATTTAGGGAGATAAACCCGAACTTTTTTACAAGGTAACAAGGATATAACTCATCAAACACATTACGAAGGTCTGAATTTAAATTTAAAAATAATATATACATAAGAAATTATCATTAAAGTGTTAAAAGTCAGTTTACTTTCAAATTACAATTTCACGCATAGTTTACTATGGTGTGGTTATCACTCAATTACATAATACACATGGGTCCTTTTGTAGATTTTATTCGTAAAAGCTTGTAAACTATATTGTAGATTTTATTCGTAAAAGCTTGTAAACTATCTTATAGAAAGATTTAAATCTTAAAACATCAAACCAAGAGGGAACTGTATCTTGCGAGCCACAACACAGAATATTCATTCAAGAAATTTAAAAGAAGCGATAAGATTTGTGAAATAACATGTTGAAAGAGGTAGTTAGATTGGAAAATCCTACACTGAAAAGGAAACTGAATCCCCCAAAAGTTGTCTTTCCTCACATAAGAAAGGACCTGCCGCTCTGTTTTGAGGAATAAATTCATTAGAGAAGTTGCACACCAGGCAAATTGATCATTCAATCTACGACCAAGTAATGGCGAATTGGGAAGAACTCCCACAAGAGATCCTAGAACTCATCGCTTGTCGACTAGCCATAGAAGACTTTTTAGCTTTTGGAGGGGTGTGCACCTCATGGCGGTCCGCTGCCGCTAAAGAGACATACAGAGCGAAATCGGAAGCCCCGTGGCTCATGATTTATGAATACAACCAAATAGCTGAGTTCTCCAGCCCCTCTACAGGGAGAATTTACCCAATGCGGGTGCCAGGATCTGATGTATAGACCTTGTCTGTACCAGGATGGTTGCTCGCGTTACAAGGGGACGGTGAGTACCGTATCTTGAATCCGCTTTCGCGCGTTAGCATCGAACTCCCCGCCTTGGAGAAGCTTCACCACGAGTCACGTCTCATTGAGGAACTCGACAGGCCGGACAGGGTCCGGTGCGGCCCCCCTAGGATCAACATGATCGCGTTGTCCTCAAGCCCTTCTTTGTCCAGGAGCTACGCAGTCATGATCTCATATACCAGATCATCAAGGTTTGCCTTCCACAGATCAGGAGAAGATGTGTGGACGGTAGTAAGTCTTGCGACGGATCTGCATCGGTTCACGGCACGCATCCTTGGACTGATTTATTACAATGGGCTATTTGTGGCCTTGAATGCAGATTGTGAAATAATGACTCTTAACTGGAGAAATCGTCGCATGGAATGGCGACTAGATCTAGGGCTGAATTATTATTTTGACAGTGATCCGCATCTCGTTGAATGTTCGGGCTCATTGCTTGTGGCTTGGGCGATATCGGCTGAAGAGTATTATGGACCTGCGGAAGAGATTCGAGTTTTCGAAGTTGATTTGGAGAAGGGAACTGAGGAAGAGGTCGAGAGCTTGGGGAACATGTCGCTCTTCTTGAATGGCACCTCTTCATTCTCGGTGGAGTTGAACCCCGAGTCCTGCCTTCCCGGGATCAAGCCAAACCATGTCTATTTCCTGGATTACGACGATGATCAGATGAAGAGTTACAGCATGGAAGACGGAGAACTCGATACATACTTTGATGCCCCTGCCAACCACATCTATGAATGGTTCCAACCTCACTTTTGAACTTTATGTTTGAGTTTTTTTCTCTCCTCAGTACCAAGATTTTGATGTCAAATCCGGGTCCACTGGAATGGCCCATCTCCACCCTTGATTGCAAGGCGGGATCAATGGTCAGTACAAAGAATCCTCATTTACCAATTTCGTTGACGGAACATTTGTTAGTAATGGGTATTAAGGTAGATTTTAATTTTTGACGGACTAATTTCTTGGCACGATATGGATTTGGATGTTTTTTGCGGCAGATTAAGGATATAAATCTCAAAATTAAGGATATGTGCGCAAGATTAAAATGATAGATCAGTTAGGTAATCTTCTAAAAATATCAAAAATTTTAATTATTAATTGATATCTACCCATCTCTTTACTTTTATACAGTGAGATGATATAAGGGTAGTTTGGTCATTTGAAAATTGGTTATATATAGTAGAGATAAATATAGATAACAATAGATTGAGAGAACTTAGCAACCCACTGAAAAAATTCCAATGCTTATCTAACTTTTCTAATTAATTAATTCTAGAAGAAAATATAAAATATTCTTTGAACATAGGTAAGTGGACTACATGGAAAGACAGTTGGAAACCTTGGATATCTAACTAGGTGATTGGTTGATTTAAATCGTCATTTGTAATTAAAAAGAAAACTACTAAATGGACCTAATTATCTTTTCAAGTCACAGTTAAAAAAAGGTTAAATTGATTTTCACCCTCGTTCTCATCTCACATTGTAATTGATGGTGTGCTACGATCTTATTTAAATTACTATCATAAATACAAATATTATTTGCTTGATAGTCAGATAGATACGTACCATAATTAGATTATCAGGTTCAAATCTAATTTGCATATAGATCACAACAAACCAATTGAGATTAGAGAGTGCTATCCCTAATATTGTTGGAAGTTGCTAAACATGACCTAGAAATGGGAGTTTGATACACTCTTCGAGATTAAGATCGAATAATTGACCCGACTGGATTGGCATTAATGAAAATTACACTTGTGCCTCTTATTGTGCTCTTGTTGTGCCAAAACACTGGGATATATATATATATTATGTGTGTGTGCACGCGCGCCCGCTCACACATGTAGTCATCATTTTTCTGCAATTTCCTTTTCTATTTTTCTTTACTTTGGCTTGGCATTGAAAAAAAAAAAACTTTGCTTTGCATGATAATCACACCAATGTCTCAAAAATTCAGAATATATCAATTCGATAATTTATTCACCTACTATGATAGGATAAAATTGCATAAGAGCATGAACCCATCTAAATTAATTTTTTTTTTATTTTTTGTTTGATCTAAATCTTGCGTTATGTGTGACTTTTTTTTGTAACTTGAAACATTTGCAACTGTTGGCATAAGTGGGTTCACATGCAAACTAATCATAATTTTTTGAAACTTGAGTAATATTTTTCAATTTTATCACAAGCCCACTAGAAAGGGCTAGAGAATAAGCCGGACCATTTCTAATCTGCCCTGCTTCAAGCATCAAATCAAAACTTTCTAACACATTCTAATCAAACCGGATGAACCTAGAAACCTGTCACTTATCCTAAGTCATTCCTGCATACAACAACTCTCATGTAGAGTAAAACTACATAAATCCCTAACAAGGGCATTTATTAGTAAATTCGGGAAATTATAACAAAACGCGATAAATTAATAAATTAGAAGGATAAAATTGCGCATTAACACTATCAAAAGTTGCATGTTGACTATGATTTTCACTTTTTCTTTATTCTCTCGTTTGCTGTGGTTGTCAAAATAATTTGGCTTAGCCTTCTCCAAAAAGATGCTTTCCATAAGTCATTGGCCAAACAAGTCTCAGCAATAAAGTTCAAAGTCAAAATAGGGACAGTGACTGAATTTTTCTTTTTCTTTTTTTGTATGTAGTCCAAGTGAAAACCCGCGCATGATTTCACATGATTCCACAAAGAATAAACAAATCAAGTAAGTCATAGGTTTGGCCTTGAGTAACGGGACACCGAAAATGCTTGGAAGTGAAATTCGCAATACATAATCCAGAATTGCAAGCAGAGTGATGTAGCTATCTGGAAGTTCTAAAACACCATATAAGTTCTAAAAATGAGTTAAATCTAAATTGTTGGCTCGCAAGTGGCCCTCTTGCCAAGCAGTTTATACGCAGTTGATAGAACTCTCCAACTCCTGAGTTGGACCTTCCCTTATGCGTCAACCAATTGGGCTAACCTAGTTAATGCACTCCATATTATTTTTGCCATTCGTAAGTACTCAAGATTCAAACCTCAATACAATAAGCATCTGGTCAAGCAGTTGCTAACATTCTTGGAGCTCATTCAATTCTTTCGGCCATCATTCGATAACTTGAACCGGACCCAAAAAAGGTTTAATTGGTTTGACTTAGTTGTGTCTTATTGTCTAGGTATTGAAAACGAAAAGATCACATGATGGACAATCATATGATGAAGGATTCACATTGCTTCTCCTTTAGTTCTTTCTCTACTTCAGTGTACTCAGTAACTCTATACTGAGTTTGTATTGTGTTCCCACAAAGGAAGTCCGTGCGGGTGATATCAGCTTAATTATTTTATTTTCGTAGATGGACATACATGTTTAAGAGGCGTTTCGTTGAATATAATACCCAAGAAGAATCACAGCACATACGTATACCATGTGATTTCACAAAATAAATATATGAACAGCCCAAAAATGAAGGAGGGTTAGGATTGCCTGATTTGAACCTATGGAACAAAGTGTTATTAGGGCGCACAATGTGGAATCTTATCAATCATCCATCTTCTTCACTTTGGAGCTCCTGGGTCCACAGTACAAAATGCAGAGGAACCCCATTTTTGCAGATGGACATGAAGGGTAGTATGGCCTGGAGTTGGCGATGTCTTCTCAAACTACGTCATGTCCTAACCCCAGTCATGTCTAATCCAAGATATTGTTGTCATGATGTCTTGGATGAACTTAGACACGAGAGTCCGGCTGTGGAGTGGTATAACTTAATATGGAGTAGCGGCGTTAGCAAACACAATTTTATTGGTTGGCTAGTATGTAGGGATAGGCTTCCGACAGCAGAGATCATATCACGGTGGATGACTTCAGTCGATTTTCAATGTACCTTCTGTAGGGCAAGTATAGAGAACACGACTCACCTTTTCTTCCAATGCGAATGGACAGGTAGCATCTGGCGCAATATTCTTGCGCAACATGGGATTAGGCGTAATGTATGGGGATGGAATGAGGAGCTTCAATGGATGGTTAGAGCAACAAGAGGCAAAGATTTGGCAGCGAAACTCCTCAAAGTATCTTTCCTAGCGACTGTATATTGCACTTGGATGGAGCGCAACCATAGGCGGTTTCAAAACAATCCAACTGACATTCAGATTATTTTGGCGAAGGTGCGGAAAAATGTAAGAGGTAGAGCTTCACTATACAAAAAAATCAAACCTTCGCAAGCTAACTTTGTTTTAGCTACTTTATGGAGACTTCCTACCTCCATATTCTCGAATTATTAGTACTAGTTGTAATGCCGGGGAATGCCCCTAAGCTGCTGTACATCATCTGTTATATACTACTTACATTTTACACCAAAAAAAAATATATATATGAACAGCCCAAATTTTGGCACAAATGCAGCGATTAGTTCTATGGTCGTCGGTGCTAAGTGCAATAATTGATGGATGAATCTAGAGTCAATAAACAGGTATAGAGTGTAGATAGTCAGCATACTTTTACTTCAAAGGTTTTAATATCTGCCTATGAAATCATGCATTTCTGATAATATTTGTCTGGGGACCTTTTGCTGGACGGATTAAAGTTCTCTGAAATAGCGTAAACCCAGCTAGAATAGACATTTAAAGAGTTCGGACCTAAGCAAGTCATTAAAAGGCTTCATCTTGATTCTCGTTCGGATCTCAAGATTACCGGAATGTAAAACCCTTAAAGGTTATTGCCTGAAGCTGGGCAAGAAAAAGATACAGACTCCAACGAAGGGGCACAGAGCGTGCGGGTACTGGCACGTTAAAATAAATAATGCATATGTAGAGCCCGCCTCACTAGAGGATAGGCCACATAAGCCCCCGGAGAGTTTTGACTCTTTTGCTTTGGTGAGGTAATCTATGCAAGGATCCATAAGAGACACCCTGGTTTTATAAGAGGTTCTCTGAAATTAAGTAAAGCCAGCTAGATTGGACATCTGAAGAGCTCAGATGGTGTAGGGAATGGCAAACTAGCTAAATGCATGTGGAAAAGAATGGGGGTGTGGTTACGCATGTAACGGATTAGCAGTCTACAATTGCCCTTTCTGTGGCGCGGCTCAACTATGGTTAAGTCCTAAGTCATCACATCAATGAATGTCCTAAGCATGCTTGGTTCTCTGTTTTTAGATTCAGCATGTTGCTAAAACATGTAGTCAGTGACGTCTTCTTGAACTCCCTTCCTGCATGAAAGTGTGCAAGCGCACGAGAATGTCAATTTAGATGCGACGTGCAAAGTTAAATTGAAGATGACATGTCATGGCGATATTCACATGTGATATGACGTGAAAAACTTTAATGCAAACACAATCTAAAAAATCCTTATAATAATTGACATTGCATGGCAGTTTTGAATTGAAAACATGTCGGAAAAATGACATATTTGAAAATATTCACTTGCAACTCGACATGACAGTTTTGAATAACATGATATGACAATTTTGAATAACATGATGAGAGAAAGACATAAGACGACAATATTCACATGCAACATTACAGGGCATTCGAGATTCAAACATGACAAGAAAAATAGTATGACTGACAATAACTAAAATCCTACTGCGATTCAAATCTCAAGCTGTTTTAGGATTCGCTACCGATTATCTCAAGGTTCATTGGGATACTAAAATCCTAGGTGTTACGGGGAAAGCTAACTATTCACCTATAGGCCAAACGATCCACAAACAACTAATGGGTTTCAATTACGCGTGAGGGGAGAGATAGACGCCCCTAAATCACCCTTTCATTACAACATT